CTTTCTCCCGCGGAGCGGCTGGTAGTTTCGAACCGCTGACCTTAAGGTTCGCAGCCCGATTCGTAACCACTACGCTACCAGAGCTCCTTTGTTAAGTAACTAGAAGACTATTTTCAGTTTGTTAATAACATCTAAGTGTTGTTGTGAAGTGCTGTCGAGTCAGATCTGACCCATAGCGACCCTGTATAGGGTGTCTGAGGAGCAGCTGGTGAGCTTGAACTGCCAACCTCGCAGTTCAAATGGCTTTGCAATCTGGCGCATTAACCCACAGCGCCACACCAGGACTCCCATCTACGTGGGTGCAGAAATTTCCAGTTTGGCACTCTTGGACCCTGAAAGGAGATTTAAGAGGACAGAAGGGAGGCTGATTTTCCTTCCAGAGACTTGTTCCTCGTTAGTAAGAGAAAACAATACTGATGGCAAACCCTGGCTGTCCTCACATTCACCAGAGGAGCTTTTAAAAATGCAGATTCCTTGGCCTCACCCCAGACCACTGGAGTCATAATCTGCCCAAATGTCCATGGAGAACAGAAACAAAAGGCTCCTCTCACAGGCTGGGTCTGAGGATCACTGTACTGGGAACAACAGAACCACTTTTTGAATATTCACATTCTAGAGCTCCACCTTAGATCTGTGAATCAGACTTGTGAGGGGACTTGTGGGACCCAGGATCTGCCTTTTTAATAGGCTTTTACCTAAAGTTGCAGAACCGTTGCTGTGGGCAGTTATTTTAGAGCTAACCCAATTTCTGTGGATTGCTTAGGATATTGAAAAATCTCCTTTGTTTAAAGAACACACAGCTTGTAGAGATATATATATATAAATCCATTTAGCCCAATATTCTTTTGTTTCGCTATGGGGAAACTTTATTCAATATCATGTGCACATTCACAACAAATCATAAAGGTATCAGCAGTTCTGCTGCCAACAAGGACCTCTCCTTCAGAACCCAGGTGTCTCAGCTGGTATAAAAGTATACAGGTGGTACCTGATTAATCCAGCACACAGGAGGCACCTAAAAGGTGTTTGTTTAATTATTTTTATCCAGTGTTATGCTGACCTCAAGGTCAGTGGTTCAAACCCACCAGTCACTCCTCTGAAACCCTATACAGCTATGAGTCGGGACTGACTTGATGGCACTTAACAATGACAACACCTTCACCCATTTTATATTCTATAAAATATTTGAAGTGAGAAAGACAAAAAAGATGAAGGGAGGATAGGGTTGGAACCAACAGCTAAAAAAAAAAATAACATTCTGTGGAAAAGAAACTATTTCTTATGCGGTGACAGTCACACTTTTGGGTGGTGCAGTTTGAAAAACGGTTTGCTTCACTAGCTGATCTCAAAGGTAACCAACCACACGTCTTCACTTACGAACCACCGTCTTATCTGTGTTATGGGAAGATCTAACAGGTATTCCTTGCCTCCCACCTCCCTTTGTTGTTGTTGTTGTTGTTTTTTCATGAAAAATTAAGATTTCATGTTTCTAGTAGGAACAAGTGAGCACTCTGTCATTCCTGAAAATCCTGGCGACTGCTTATGATTGTTATTAGCCTGGTTATTCTAGATCAGAACACTTGACTTCTTGAGCAACTCCAACTAAGTCCATGTAGACTTGTACTCTCACCCGGCTGTGTAGCAGCACCAACAAAATGGCACTTCAGGAAATAGGAAAATCAATACTCACTCCTCTGATTCCAATACAGAAAGCAGACTGCTTCAGGCATATTTCACACTTGGTACACCACTGAAATCTGGACTCATAATTCACTTGATGTATCTAGTTATACTAACATTTCTTTATCTAAATGTTTATCTCTTTTTCATGCAGTGTTTTGAAGTATCAATCTTAAGATGTTTGAAAAATTATGTCAAGTATTCTCTTTTATTTTGTTAGGCAGACTACGTAGACTCAAGTGGACCAAATGATCTACTACACATGTTCAGAAACCAAAGGGTTGGTAGATTTTACACTCAAGTTTAAAATTGTTTCACTGCTAAGAAGACCAATGGTAGTTTATTTCTAAGCTTATCTTTTTTGAAAAAAGGTAACAATTCTGGATTTAAGAAGGTAAAACACTGGATTTAGCTGATCAAAAAGATTGACAACCTTTGCCTAATATATATATATATATATATATATATTGTTGTTGGTAGGTGCCATTGAATGGATTCCAATTCCTAGTGACCTGTATCGGGGTTCCAAGGATGGCTGGTGGGTTTGAACCATTAACCCTGTGGTTAGCAGTCGAGTGCTTATGTTACAGCACCATACCAGGACTCCATATTATGATGGTGGTGGTGGTTGTGTGCCACCGAGTTGGTTCCGACTCACAGCAACCCTGTATAGGTTTTTGAAGAGCGGCTGGTGGGTGTGAACTGACAACTCTGTGTTTACTAGTCTAGTGCTTATCCTAGAGTGCTATACCAGGAGTCCATATATGAGAGTTGTTGTGTTGTTATATACCGTGAAGTTGGTTCCAACTCATAGCGACCCTGTACAGGGTTTCCGAGGCTGTACATCTTTACGGGAGCAGAAAGCCTCATCTTCCTCCCGCGGAACAGCTGGTAGTTTCAAACTGCTGACCGTGAGATTAGCAGGCCTATTCGTAACCACTACACTACCAGAGCTCAAACTTAGAGAAAATACAAGGATAACTAAATGATTCTTGATAGTTTTTGTTGTTAAGTGTCACTGAGTCAATTGTGACTCAGAGTGACCCTGTATAAGATTTCCAAGGAGTGGCTGGTGTGTTTGAACTGCCAACCTTATGGTTCACAGTCCAGTGCTTATCCTACAGTGCCACACAAAGACTCCTCACGTTAGTTATCGACTTACAGATCAAACCTCTCTTCCCCTTAACACAGAGCCAAATAGATTTTTATAAATTCGCTTTATCTTAAAATAAATTGAAAACTTTCTTCACTTCCTGCGAAGTGAACTTTTAAAGACCAGTATCTCACACAGTTACATTTCTAAATAATCACATAAAACAATGAATTACACTTGAATCTGGATGTAGAATGATCCATAGCAATGGAGAAAATAATTTCAACCTTTGACCTTCTCCACTAGCCTGACGGGAAATTCATTGGCACCATTGTGGCTTTTCGCTTTTCCAGAGCCAGTAACCACTAGAGGGCAGCCTTATCTCAGCTCTGACAAACTACTTCAGAAAGAAACATCACAAAGACGCTAAGGTTCCTTTAATTATTTTTGCAAAATCTTTGACTTTTCTGGATATTTAATAATCAACTTCAGCGGAACCATAAGTATTCCTAAACAGTGCAAAACTCCACTTTTATAAATTACAATGGTATCAGAAACAACTTGCCATGAAATGGGCTCAAGATACAACCTAGTTTGTGTATCATTAGAAATTTAAGCAAAGCTTTCTCATCGTTAGAGACAGTCATATCCCAAGTGGAACTGGACTTCCACTTTCAGCACCAAAACTTCCAGCACATCTAGTTAAAGTGAAATGTGTTTGGAGAAGACACCAACAAGATGGTGTGAAGATAAGAAACCTCAGCAGAAGAAAATTAAATGAGCCGTGAGCTATATTCAAGATGGAATGGAGAAGTTTAGCAGAAACATAGGGTTAGATGTATATGTGTTTGTGCTACATGCTGCTTTTGTTGTTAGTTACCACTGGGTGGGCTCCACCTCAGGGCGACCTTACATATAACAGAACGAAAAACGTGGTCTACTCCTTTACCATGGTCTTTGATATGTAGGAGTCCATTTCTCTGAGGGTTTTACTCATCTTCAATGACCACCAACTTAGTACGCTGGTAGTCTTCAAATAACTGACAATCTTTCATTTGAGATATAGTTTAAATGTGAGATATAGTTTAAATAGCCCCAAAGGAAAAGATCAGTATTAAAGGATTAAAGTTACAAGAGAGATATTTGTGCTTGATATATGGGGGAGGGCGGAGCTCTGGTAGCATAGTGGTTACGAATCAGACTGCGAACCTCAAGGTCAGCAGTTCTAAACTATCAGCTGTTCCACGGGAAAAAGATGAGGCTTTCTGCTCCCATAAAGATATACAGCCTCGGAAACCCTGTACAGGGTCGCTATGAATCGGAACCGATTCCACGGCACTTAACAACAACAACAAACTACCCTTAGAGATAGTGAGTTCCCCATTACTATGTGTGTTTAAGCATAACTAAACCAACATTTGGTAGGAATGTTACAGAGAAGACCCAAATGCCAATGGTACATTTAACTGGACTTTTAAGGTTTCCTCTATTCCCAAGATTCTATGAAAGAATGGGTATTTGTTTATGAGCTTTCAAATAAACACATCTCAATCCAGAAGGTTAGGTAAACACCCATCAAATGAGAAATGAGTTCTTACCCACCTATCCTGGTGTGATGCTGTGGATTAATGTACTGGACTGTATGTATAAAGTCTTTGAAGAGCACAGTTGGCATTCAAGCTCACCAGCCACTCCTAGGAATCTCTATATAGGGCCACTATGGGTCAGAACTGACTCAATGGCAATTAACAATGACAACAATCCAGGTGGAAAGTTTTATAAACCTACAAACCTACCATCATCGAACTGATTGTCCAACTCACAGCAACCTTGTAAGATAGAGTAGAACTGTCCCATGGGGTTTCCAAGACTAAAAGCTTTATGGAAGCAGACTGACATGTCTTTGTCCCGCCGAGTGGCTGGTGCGTTCCAACAGCCACACTTTTTGCTCGCAGCTAAGCACTTAAGCACTGCACCACTAGGGTTCCTTGGGTTATTTTCAAAAAGGCAACAATTTCTCAAGAGTCTGTTCACAATCATACTCTGTAGCTGTCATGGAAGCAAACCGGGCAAAACCTACGGGTGCAAGGATTCTTGCGCTTTCTCCTACACGAAGGAAGGCGTATGAACATTAGAAGATGCATTTGTGAATCTTCCTTTGCCCAAAGATAAACAGGACTAATGGGTACGTCTTTCGCTCAATTCTACTATTATGGAGACAGATTACACAGGCTTGGTGCACTGCGTGGTACTGCGTATTCTTTAGGAAAGTAATGCTTACATTTCATCCAGATCGTCTTAAAATAAGAGCGCTTAATGAAAATCATGGATGAAGAGCGCTAATGACAAGCAAATAGGAATAACCCCATTTGCACCAAATTGATTTTATTAAATAGTAATTTAAAGATATTAGGCTTAGCAAAGCATTACATAATTGAATCTATTTTTTCCCTTATAAATGCCAGAGTTATAATTTCCACTAACTAGAGAGAAAATTCTATCCAGGACATTTTCACATCTTCCTCCAGAGGAGATAGCAGAATTTAGAGGCTAGTTCTGGCTTCACCATGCGTCAGCTGGCAGAGGCTGGGTTCATCTCATAGCCTCTGTGAGTCTCAGTTTCTTCAACAAAAAGGCCAAGACCGTGACTCTGACTTCCCAGTGAGGATGAAATGAGATAAGAGGGTTTGTAGACTGTAAAGCACAACATAGATATTGATTAACACCATCCCTCTATTGATTATGAAATGACTAGTAAACTTCACAGACAATAAAATCAAAAGCAAAAAATGCAATCACTAGCAAGCCTCGGGAGTAAACCTTATTCCTTTTCATAATGATCAGAGCAAAGGTTTTTAAGTTATCACATTAGCCTCTTATAATATAACGAGGGCTAACAGATTTCACTTTAAAATGAAAGGCCAGAAACAGCTGCTTTTGTGTCTTTTACCCACTGGTAGGTAGTATATGCTTTGATCTTTCTATTTAGTCCTCTTATCACTAGACACAGTACTGACAATTTGCAGAAAAAGCATGCTCTATCAACAGCACTTAATAACAACAAATCATATTACATACAACACTGACAGATACAAAAAGTTCTGACTCTCAGCCCATGACTACAAATGCCAGGGTAGAAGGGAAATACCGTCAGTGGATAAAGGAAAATTCACATTTGAGTTGTCCCTGCTGGGCCCGATTTTTTGTTTCCTTAACAGCAAAACATAAAAGCAGTGACGTTGCTAACTATGAATGTCTAATTATGGTTCTATAAATTACCAAATGTGAAAATATACTAAGGCAGCCATGATTTCTTAGTAATACACACGTGTGAATATTTGAACTACATGCAGGAAACCTTCCTATGAACAAGGTATTCTTATGAGATTCCTTTCATATAAAGTGTTTATTGATACTTAAAATCCAAGAAGTTTTAAAAAGTACTGAAGATCTACCTCTGAAAATTGATCGATCGATCTATGTACCCTTCTAATCCTTTTTTCTCCTAGTGAATGGTCAGTTGTAAATGATTATATCTTAGGTACCCCACAGCAAGTTATAAAGTGGCTGGGTACTATTGCAGATGCTTTGTAATCATCTACTACTTGATCTCATCCACTTTATAGGCAGTGCCAGGTTCTTAATTGTGTCTTTAAAAATTTGTAGGTAAGTCGGAGCAGGTGTATACGGTTCTTATTGAGCCTTACTTTAGTGTAAGAAAAGCCTCAAAGTGTTTTCAATGATTTAAAGGCTGCATTTGCAGCAAGTAAAGGTGACTTTGATGAAGAATTTGTTATTAGAAGTTAGTTCAATCTTTTCAAAGTGAGGACAAATTTACATAATATTAAAGATCACGTAGGAGTTGTCCTTCAGTCAGATGGGATGTTGTGCACCTGTACTATGATTTGCTTGGCTGGGAGCAAGAACAACTAATATATTTACTTGTTGTTACATACCGTCCTGTCAAGTGAGTTTCAACTCACCTGGGTTTACTTTTTTCAACTCATAGCGACCCTGTATAGGGTTTCCGAGGAGCACCTGGTGAGTTTGAACTGCCGACCTTGTGGTTCAAACTGACCATAAGGTCAAGTTTTTACATACCAGAATATTTACTGTTGGTGGTTTTTGCCGTGGAGGCGGTTCCTACTCACAGCGACTCTGGACACGGTTTCTGAGGCTATAAATCTTTACGGGAGCAGAATGCCTCATCTTTCTCCCACGGAACCACTAGTAGTTTCGAATTGCTGACCGTGAGACTAGCAGCCTGATTCATAATCACTACACTACCAGAGCTCCTTAAAATATTTGCTAGGTATACAAAAAACTAGGGGTCTTGGTGTGGTGGTGTAGGATAAGCACTGGACTGCCAACCACAAGGTTGTCTGTTCAAACTCACCAGTACTCCTGCACAGGGTGACTGTGAGCCAGAACCAACTCAACAACACTTAACAACAACAAGAAAATTAAGATTTAAATCACATACTCCATTTTTTTTTTTTCAAGGAAAAAAAAAAAAAAAGGCTGTTTCTATTTAGAAATTGTATTTCAAAACTAGGAAGCATTAAAGAAATTATATGGTACTCAATTCAAATCAACGGCCAAGTATTTTCACTTGAGCCTGATGTTGCTTTGCATTTTGAGGCATATGACTAGAATGGCTAAACTCAGAGGATGCTCATGAAAATGGTGCGTTCTAATCCTCTCTACTTCATGGTGCCTGGATTCCCCTCTTCTCCCATGGACAAACTGATTTAGAGATCCTTGTGACAGACAAGTGCTCTGCTATGTGCTGGTGGCAATTTGGGTTGACTTTTTTCCAGACCCAGCCATCACCTTTTTACCCATCAAAAGTAATAAAAATGGAACAAAATTTCCACCTAAGAAATAACTCTGAAATGCTTTTAAAACAAGACCAAAAATAAAACTCAAATTTCATTGGGTTTAAGAAAAGCCACATTCTAAAAAACAATAACACCATATTTATTAAAGTTAGAAATACTACTCGCCACCAAGTTGCATATACAGTTTTTCCAAAGCAGGAGGGTGCCTTCATACGTATATGAATTGTGTTGGGGGAAGAATCTATCACTATACAGAAATTCCTATTAAGCCTCCATCCACTCTCACATTACAACACTTGATGGCTAACTGAAAGTTCAGAGGTTCAAAGCCACCAGCTGCTTCTCGGAACAACGATGTGGCAGTTTGCATCTATAAAAGTTTACAGCCTTGGAAATACTATGAGACAGCACTACTCAATCCTAGGAGTTGGGTCGGAAACAAGTAGGAGTCAGAAACAACTTGATGGCACTTTGGGTGGGCCACTCTCATAGTCCCAATATACATGAACATGGCCTGACACTTACATGAAGCAAAGGGATTTAATCTATTGAAACTGACGAACCTCTTGTATTCCCTTAAAGTACTCAACTTCCATGTGACATTTGGCCAATGCCCTTTTATGATGAGCAAAATAAACGCTCCCCTAATTACAAATGTGATCACTGGCTCTTTCTATTTAGCCCAAGAAACAATACAAACGGTATTGGAATTTTGTTAATTAAAACAAAAACCGAACTGAAGGATGAGACTCCAGTTGCTCAAATGAAGATTTATTACTTCTAAGCATGTAACCACTTAAAACCTAAACTTAATTGACAACTAACGCAAAGGAAGGATTTTCTTCTTTGGTGAGTTCAAAAGGCTTGGTTTAATGATGTTTAAAAAACATAAGTAAATCAGCCAACAAAGAGAATGTTTCTCTTTTATGGTCGCTTGTTTTCTCCTCCCTTGTCCACATGCATACACATATCAAAAAGCTATATTGTAAAGAGCGTCTCTTGTTTTGCATGAAAAGCCTAATTATACAAAGTCCCTTACATATGGAACCAATTTGCGATTAAAACTTCGAGGCAGTAGGGAAGTATTTAATATGATTTTGGGCCAGTTTCTCCCCCCCTCCCTTAAATCTGATATGGAAACATTTATAGCATTCCTCATTTTCCCACAAACTATTTTTCCTCAGTTTAATTTTTCACCAAAGCAAGATAATCCCATTAGAACACAGGATGTTACGATATTGGGAATGAAATATTCTAATTGTCTAGATGTATTCTATTTGTCTCCTTCTCAGGCAGCTGAACCTAAAGAAAAATTGTGCTGCCGGTACTTCTTAGTTACTTTTCTCAAAGCATAAGACTAGGAATCTATTATTCTATGGCAGCCAGGGACCACTGCAAGACAAATGCGTGAGCCAGAGCGTTTTGTGTGTGTGTGTGTGTGATTCTCATAACACTAATAGCAAGGGATAATATGTAACTTCACCTTGTACTAGAACTAGAAGCCAAAAGCCTATTTACTAGGAAACATCAAAATTAAATGAAAATGTACTTTCCTTATTAATCACTTAGGATTTACAGTTCACTAGGCGATTAGCAGTTTAAAATGTCTTAGACACTCCCCCCATATCAACACAAATTAGAACAAAAAGGGTAAGAACTGACATTGCCATCTCCCAAAAGGCAAAATGTTTCATAACTTACAAAAAAAATAGTCGTAAATGTCTTAATTACAAAGCTATTCCGGTTTTATCCTTCAAGGATTATGAAAATGTAGAAAAAAAAGCATAAAAGTTTTGTCAGGAGTAGGAGAATAAATTCATTCTTTGTAAGAATTCGGTAATGTTTTTCTTTCCAAAATTATTGTAAGTGCTTAAAAGTCTGGATTACAAATAGGTTTACTCTCTTTTTTACTGTATCACTCGCATATTCTAAAAATGATCAAATCCCATTTCCCACATACCACAGGGGAGAAGATAACACAATTTGCTATGGGTACACAGTATAGAAAGATTTCATCTCCAGCAGCTCCTCTTAGCTCCAGTCCGTTTCGGCCTGTTAATTATTAATAAAAACGATGCCACCCAATCTCAAGTGAAGAAAGGCAAAGCTCGCTGATCCGAAAGTTAACCCGGTGTGAAGATACAGAACTGGTGTCCTACATCCCGGATTGCAACAAAACCCCAACCTAGCAAATGTTTAACGAGCGCTAGGCGATCTTACGTACGGGCAGACCCCGCAGAATCGAAAGGTTAGAAAAGGGAGCCCCATCCGCTGGAAACAGATGGGCTCTAAATCCCCACGCCGAGCGGCCAGGCCTCCGAAGCCGATCGGGCAGATTATCCACTGGGGAACCTGCAGGCACATCACCGGACAACGTGCTCCGAGGCTGTTTGCAAGAGTCCTAAAAATGCGTCCCGGTTTCTTTCGGCGGCACAGACGACTTCCGCACACCACTAAAACTTCGCCTTTTCCATTAGGAACTTTCCTGACTTGCTAGGACTTCTTTCCTCCTCACCTGGAAGGATCTCAGGCGGCCAGTACCCCCTGTCACCCCGCCACCGTCCCGACTAAGGACCAAGCAGGACGGAAAATCGGTCCGGGTTGGTTTAGCGGCGCTGTGAACCTCAAGATGGGGGTTCGAGCTCACCAGCCGCTCCTCTGGATAAAGCTAAGGCTTTCTGCTCGCGCAAAAGGTTTACAGCCTGAGAAAACCTATACGAGGTCACTATGAGTCGGAACCGACTCCACTGCACAGAGAAACAGCCACAGGGCTGCCTGCGACAGACCGGTGCCTCTCGGCTCTACCCGCCGTCTCACCTTCACCTCTGGCCGCGAACCCGTGGGCATAGAAGTCTCTTCCCCTTATCCATCCACAACCCAAAGTATCAAGTACAGCTGAGATGTGGTTGCAAGCGGCCGCTGAAGGCGCCCGTCTGGTTTCGGCCAGGTTGTTTTCGGAAGTGGCCGCGGCTGGACGCAAACCCGATCGGCCGCACTTCGCCGGTAGCCAGGCGCTAGGGCGCTCGGGGCCGCCGGGCCGCCAGTGGGGGAGGGCGCAAAGCCCCGGGCGCTGACCAGTCCTGGGGGATGACAACGCGTCCGCGCGCACGCCCGGCCCGGCCCGGGCCGGCCGCAGCGCCTCCCCTACGTAGGCCGGAGCGGCTCGGGGTGCGGGCCTGAGGGACCGGCCGCGGGCGCCATCGGCACCCCCGGACCTCTCCAGATCCTCCCCTCACTTCCCGAAGCGCGGCGACTCGCAGCAAACTTTCTTCCGGGAGCCTTGCCGGGTGCCAGGCGGACCCGAGCGAATGACAGGATTCGGAGGGGGCCAAGGAGAGACCCAGTCCCCGCGGCTTAGCCCCCAGCAAGGGGCAGGCCAACCCTGTGGCCCGGCTCAGGTGGCGCCGCAGCTGGGGCCCCGAAGACCCTGGCGGGTTCCCGCGCTCAGCCCCGGGCAGTACGTGCGCTCCGGCAGGCGCGCCCACCCCTCCCCCTGCGCGCCCTCCTCCCCGCCCCCCGGAGCAGCCAGCCCACCCGGCCCCGGCGGGGCGCCCGGGCTCACCTTTCATCGCTGCGATCACAAAATACATCATTTAAGCCGCGGTGCGGAGAGCGCAGGGAGAGCCGATGGTCCGACCCCGGAGCCCCCTCTGCCGCCGCCGCGCCGCCGCCGCCCGAGCCACAGCAGCAGCTGCCGCAGCTGCCCGCGCGCCGAGAGCCATCCCGAGCCATAAGAGGCTCCATGTGACCGGCTGACATCACGCTGCTACTGTTTACACCGCGCCCCTTCGCTTCCTCCCGGGGCGGGAGGCGGGAGGCGGGAGGCCGGGAGCACCAGCGCTGCGCCCCGCCCCGCCCCGCCCCCGCGGGCAGGTGAGCGGCGGCGGATCGGCGGGCCCACCCCAGCCTGGCGCTGCCTTCCCGCGCCCCCAGCCCGCGCCGGCTCTCTCGGCCTCCTCCTGGCTTCCAGAGCACCTGTGGCCGCCCTGGCGCTTTCAGCGAACAGCGCCCCGTGGAACCGGCGTCTCTGACCACTTTCTCCCCAAAGTCCTAGATACCACACTTGCACTCCTATTCCCTTTCGCTCCACCTGCCCGTGGGGGTGAGAATGAGCCAATTCTATGGCGGAAGGAAGGGGTTCGTTCTGGGGCCCCCAAGAGCGCCTAGCTATTGGAGTCTACAGTACCCTCTACGGCCATGAAGAACCGAGGACTCAGGGACTAGCTTGGCCTAGCGGGAACAGTGGAGCGAGCTTCTCGTAAAACTTTCAGAAGATCTCAGCCTGAGCCTGACACTTAATCCTAATCACAACCAATCTAAAATCTGGGTTTATTCCCCCCGCCCTCCAGCCCCTCAGCCCTCAACTGATCCTCAAAAGAGAACAGAAAACTATGTGAATCACTCGAATTAACTAAGTGTTTAGCTGGTTTGGGCCATATTACCAGGCTGTTCCATTTCCAGCATTATCTCAGAGAGCCTATCTACAAGTTTTAAAGGATCTACTTTAACAACCTAAAAAGAGAGCTATGTTGTGGTACTCTGGCCAGGAAACTAAAAAAGGCCTCCGAAGGTCAACTTTGTGAATTTAACTTGCAACTCAGCCTTAATAGCCTCCAAACTTTAAAGCTTAAACCTTACTGGTCTTAGTGAAAAGTATGTCATTATAATTACTCTGTTTTACAGATGAATCTCTTTACTATGAATTTCAGATGTTCCATACTCAAGAGTCTGCATTATTTAAAACATTTGCAAGCAAGTCTATAGTATTAGGCATACAGATAAACTTATCAAAAGTGAAATTTGCATACCTATTGCTGTTCCTTCAAGCGATTTCAATTCTGATTTCTGTTGGTCTTGTGTTTCCATTTACAATTTAAAATATTAGATAGTTATTCATTGTTGCCTTTATAGAGATTAAACAGGGAACATTTTATTTTTTGCAAACCCCCCCCCCCATAAAACTGGTTTGCCCTTGCCACTGAGTTAGATCATCATTTAAAACACATGTATTCAGGACTGTAGGGGAATAAGGATTCATACACTCCCCACTCCAACGCTTTCAAGGCAAAATTTAGTCTTTCAAACATTTGCACAGTTCTCTGATTTAGGAGATCAAAATGCTCATTGTTACTTACGTCAAGCGATGGCTCGATAAAATTTGATTTTAGATACTCATCCTAGTACAGTTTTTGTTTTTAGGAAAATTTCCAAATCAACCCACAAAAATAGGAAAGGAGAAATTATAAAAGTGTGAAGCCAAGACCTACCCATGTTAACTCAGCTGTCCAGCCATAGCGAAGTGGACAAGAGTGTCAAATGAATCAACCATACCCATTGTGATGTTTACAATTATGAAATTAAATCACACCACGTTCCATGATGCAATTACATCTCCCAGTGAGACAACGCCTCTTGGTTATACTGACACCATCATTCATATTTGGTTCTTGATTTTCCTTGGGCTTACATATATAAGAAAGCAAGAGAATGATAAGCTATCCTGTAGGTACATCTCAATTGTCTTTCCTTTGGATGGGCATGATCAGAGGTACTTGCATGTTCTTCCGTACTCATTTCAAGTAAATCCAGATGTGTAATACTGAGAAGTCACAATGTTATTTTAAAACAACATTCTGCTTTAGAAAACAGTACTTTATAAAATGAACAAATCCATGAGTGCTTGCCTGCCTGTCAGACATTTGACTCTAAGGTATAGACTTATATTACTATTAATCAGTATTTATTTCCAGAACATTTCAAATAAATCAATAATTGTGAATGGTATGTAATATGACACGTGTTCCTGTAATTACAAGTAGTAGAAGCATCCATAAATACGTGCCCAACAAAAACATAATCTTATAATACTTATTTGAAATATTTACACATTTGTTCAACAAAGACATTTCCAGGATAATGCAATACTGACCTTGACCTTTAAAAATGTATTTCATTTGCATCCTACAACTAACGGAGCAGCAGAATTTCAGATACTAAGCCTTAACCTTCCTGTGTGGCTAGATGTGATTTGTAACACATACTTCTATTAAATGTCTTCAGCCTTTAACCCAGAGTATATTAATGTTCTTTATATTAACACAAACCCTCATGAAATTATGAAAGTAAAACACGAGAGACTGTTAAAAAAAAAACAAAAAACAAAAAAAAACCTCCCAAAAGACTCTTGAAATGTAAACGTTTAATAGAATTATGTCCTCAACCAAATAAATCAGTCAGAAATGAAAGAATTCACATCTCCTTCTAGAACCATTTGAATTGGGGGCATACGTGATATACAATTCAATGCAAAATTTTACCCAATATATCTTAAATGTAGGAATAATTACTTGGATTACATTAAATAAATACCTATGGGGAGTATCTCCTGTGTGTGGGGGGGAATACTTATTGGAGATTGTTTCCTTGTTTTTTTCTTTACTAAGTATTCTGGGGAGAGAAAAAATAAAAGCAGGAAAATAATACTGCTTGCTGGTGGTTATGTGCTGTGGAGTCGTAGAGAACATGTACAGGGTTTCCAAGGTTGTACATCTTTACAGGAGCAGAGAGCCTCATCTCTCTTTTGCTGAACCGCTGGTAGTTTAGAATTGCTGGCCTTGAGGTTAGCAGCCTGACTTGTAACCACTATGCTACCAGAGTTCCTTTAATACTGTTTACATGAAGATAGTTAACCAGGGTAGAGATTTTTTACCATGAATGGAATGTTAAATACTAATTCTTGACTCAGTTTTTTTTTTTTTTGTCCCTGTTGACTCATCTCAGAAACAGACGATACACCGAACATTTACGAACATCTTAGAATCCTCTAGAGATGGACATAGACCTACATAACATGCCTGTGTGCTAAGTTTCACATCAGATCTGTCACTTTGCAAGAAGTGAATACACACTTTGATGCCAGAGTATTCCAAAAGTTCCATGAGAGAAGCCCTGTGCATTTCTGCAGGGATCTACGCAGAAGTATGATCAGTAAATTAGTGCCAGTTATCCCATTTTCAGCAGTAAAATATGTGATCTTTCCCTTTATGAGAGTACCATTGGTTTCACACCATACAGGTTCTGATCTCATGGTACACCATCCTGACTCACACATACAGAGCTATTGGGGAGAATCTCAAGTCTGCTTGTGGCTCCTGGTACAAAGATGATGTTAAAGTTGGTTGATGCTGATGAGAGTGAGAATTTTGGCTCTGCAGTTTTGTCTCATCTGGTCCTGCTTCTCTCTCTCCAGTGTGTGGCAGCTTGCTAATTCAATTAATTTCTTTCTAACTGAAACAAAAAAGATCAGCGAAAGGTTAATGTGGTCCTAGGCGGCTTGACTCAGCTGAATCCTTAGCCACTGCCAA